AACACAGATTGTGTGTTGAATAATACATACATGCGTGCGTAGAGAGAGAGAGAGCGAAACACCAATTAGAAAGAGACAACAGCAGCAACACGAGACAGAACAGAACAGAAGATAGAAGACGGCACAAAAACGAGACAGAGAGAGAGAGAGAGAGAGAGACTGAGGAGGAGAGGACCTGCCTGCCTGCCGGCCTACCGGCCTGCCTGCAATATTCATTCAACTCAAATCCCGATGTCGTTCACTCATCCAAGACTACAACAACACCAATAAAGGAGGATAGCAGAAGAAGAAGGAGGCTGCCAGCAGTGGAGCGGAGGACACAAAAAGCGAAGGCACCTTGAAGGCGACATCAAAGCCACGCTGATGATGGGCTACATCATGGGTTGTGCTTGTTTCAAAGGTAATGGATATCATCATACGATTACGAATACGAATACGAATACGAATACGAGCTTAAGGATGTGAATACTCGTATATGTGGTATTCGTTATGGGTGTGAATATGCTGTGAATGAGCGTGTGAATAAGTTTCACTAGTGTACTTGAATGGTTTATATGCCCATTCAAAGGTGTCATTTGGTGGCATGTGGCAGCACTCCAACAATGTAAGATCTTCTGGGTAAAAAAAAGTGTAGAAAAAAGAGGATATTTATGGGAAACTTTTCTATTGGGTTTCAAGGAACATCTAGAAAGATCTTTGCGGAAATGTCTCCAACGGAGGGCGAGGTGTTCCCCCAGAAATTCCCATTATAGGGGCTAAAACTGGTTGTATCTTTATAAGAGTTACTGAGGGTATAATCTGTTCGATACACTCTCCGATGGCGTTGCTCTCATCTGCCCAGCCGACCGACCCTCCGCCTGCCTCACCGCCTGCTCCTCCGCCTGCTCTTCCGCCTGCTCCTCCGCCTGCTCCTCCGCCTGCACCTCCGCCTGCCGCTCCTCCAGCCCCTCTGCCTGCCTCACCGCCTGCACCTCCATCTGTCCCTCTACCTGCCCCACCACCTGCCCCTCTGCCTGCTCCTCGCCCACTCGCATTCGTTGCTTCCTTCCGCTCATTAGGCACCTCTCTCAACGCAGTGCGCTTTGGGGCTGATGCTGATGCTGGTCTCCTTTTCCACTTGCTCCCTTCCGCTCCCTTCCGCTCCCCTCCGCTCCCCTCCGCTCCCTTCCTCCTGCTGTTCTCGCGTTTTCTTTCGTATTCCTGTTTTGTGCCGTCTTTCTATGCACGCATTTTCGCATTTTTCTATGCAACGTCATAGACGACGTCACGGCGAGGGCAGCGAAGAGGCAAGATGATGGCGAGAGCGTGAGATCCTGCGCAAGGCGAGAGCGCGCTCTCCCACTTGTCTCTCATTCTATGTCATACTCTGTCATTCTCTGTTATGGTTGAGCATTTTTTTATGGCAACTTTTTCTTGCTGTTGTTGTCATTGCATTTTCCCTGCTGCTGCTGCTGCCGCTGCCGCTGCCGCTGCCGCTGCCACTTTTCCCCAACTTGTATTTGTTTTTCTTTTGATTTTTTGGGTGTTGTTTTTTCCTGCTGGTTTTCCTTCCTGTGTGTTGTTTTTTGTGTGAATTATTCCGATAGATACAATGATACAAACGTCCGTTTCGAGTGCAATGTGATTTTGATTTTGATGTTGCCTTTTGCACTTTCCATGCCTGTTTCCATGCCTGTTTCCATGCTGCTGTTGTTGCTGTTTTGTGGATAAAATGATTCAGTCCTTGAGTCCTGCTTGTTTATCTTTCAACAGGATATGCACACGTGGCATTTTGAGAGCGAGGTGAATGGCAGTGGGGGAGGGGGAAAGGGAAGGTGAAAGGGAATGGGAAGGGGAATGGGAATGGGAGTACTCTTTTCATTCGTGTGGAAATGATGATTTGTTATGTGGCCTTTGAGGCGGAACAACTGCAGATCTGTTTGGGGTTCCTTTCGCTTCTGTGTGTGTGTGTGTGTGTGTGCTTTAAACATTTCTTCATGGACTCCACATCTTTGAGATGCGTCTTAAAGAATTTCCTCTGTGTCTCTGTGTGGGAATTTGCTTTGCAGATGGAGAAGGAGAATTTCTCTGTGCCCCATCCTGGGCCACATCCCCAAACGCCCGCTCATTCTCTGTCACCGGATTCTCTATGGCTCCGGGCTTCACGTGTGTGCCGCCCCCTTGCCTCCTCCTCCTCCTCCTCCTCGAAGCTCTTCGTTTGGCTTGCATTCCATAAGCCACAAAGCACTTAACCCTTTCCTCTTTCTCTACCTCTACCACTACCTCCTTCTCCCTGGCTTCTCCCTGGGTTCTCCCTGGCTTCTCCCTGGCTTCTCCCTGGCTTCTCCCTGGCTTCTCCCTGGCTTCTCCCTGGCTTCCCCCTGGCTTCTCCCTGGCTTCTCCCTGGCTTCTCCCTGGCTTCTCCCTGGCTCCTCCCTGGCTCCTCCCTGGCTCCTGCCTGGCTTCTCCCTGTCTCCTCCCTGGCTTCTCCCTCTGTTCCCTCTTACACTCCTCGTCCTCTGCTGTTCCTCTATGATGCCCTGCCTCTTGAACTCGTGGCACGCACGTTGCAACACTATAACCTTTCACATTTATGCATTTTCCTCCGCTTACAACCGACGGCTGTCGTGGCACATGCCCCGCACTACTGCTCCACTGCTCGACCTGCTCGCCAGCTTCATTTCTCTCTCCCTTTCTCTGTCTCTATGTGTCCCTCTCTCTTTCCCACCAGATAGTTAGTTTTATTCAATTTTTTGCGCTATTTTTACTGATGCAATTTTCCTTAGCGACACGGAAGCAAGGAAATTGAGACAACCCAACCAGAGAGAGAGAGAGAGAGAAAGAGAGAGACATAGAGAGGGAGGGAGAAAGGGAGGAGGAGTGAGAGTGCAGTGGAGGATGCCTAAGTGCTTGGCCCATTAAAGTATGCAATCATTTTGCGGTTAGTTGACCTTTTCCTTGCCTCCCCGAAACAGGGAGTGCTGCTCCACCTCTTCCTTATCTTTCCGCCCCTCACCACTCTTAGCCCCCCACCCCTGCCCACCCCACCCTTTAAACCACTTGGCGCCAAGCCTTTGCCTTTGCCTTTGCCTTCAGCTGAAACCATTTCTTGACAAGATTAACGAGTCTTCAGGAGTCCTTAAACTATAACGACCTTCTGCCCTGTCCCCCTCCGCGCCCCTGCATACACATTTCCCCTGTGAAATTGGATACCAATTTTCCCCACCATTTTCCTCTACTCTCCTCAAATCTTTCATCTTTGACATTCTCCCCTCAAAATATATATTCTGCGTTGTGTTTTTTTTTCATTCATAAACAAATTAGTGGCATTTGCTGTTGCTGTTGCTTCTAACGTACATCCATGCCGCATGCCACATGCCACATGCCGCACACAATTAAAAGGGGAAAACACATGCAGCCACGCCCACCAGCCCAATACAGTTCCGCCCCCCTTTTCCGAGATGCCTTCGCTTAGAGAAGCTTCGTATAAATAAATAAATAAATAAATAAACAAGCGTTTAATTGAACCGGAAATTATTTGTGGGTGTGTGGATAGAAGGGAGGTAGGCTTCCTCCTCCCCCCTCCCTGTTCCTCTGTGCGAGTGTGTGTGTGTGGGTGTTCTTATTGAAATTCGCGCTGTTCATTTTTATTTAGTCTGCCTGTTCTACGAGTCTCATGGCTCTCTGCTTTGCGTTTTGGCTCTCGAAACTTGTTTGTCCCGTGCGGGCAGAGAGTGGTAGAGGGGTGCTTGGGGGGTGGGGGGGGTGGTTGGGTGGCCAAGATTACATGCCAGTTAGCTGTTGGCCTGCTCGCATGCTCGCTTCGTGTTTGCTTTACTCTTTACGGGGAGAGAACCCATTGAGCACATACAAGTATATATACTTAAATTAGTTTGTCTGATTAGTTTATAGTTACCCCTTATACCCCTTCCCCCGCCCATTTGGAAGACAGAGATAGTGGTAGGGTATTAATCTATACGTTTATTACACAATTTCCTTAGATTGTTGCCGTTTTCACGTTCCTTGGTTGCATTTCATCGTTCCTTTCGTTGTGGATTCAGTCTTTTTTCGTGATTTTGTTTTTCAAGTGTTCTTTCAAGTTCTTCCGGAATAGTTTGGTTACGGTTTTGCTGTAGAGTGTTCCCATTCCATGGTTCCCCTATAGTTTCCCTTCATTCTTTATTTTCAGAGCTGTATTCCAATGTTTCTTCTCGCTGTTCCTTTTATTGTTTCGTCTCAGGGTTTACTGTCATTGTTTCTTCCCATTGTTCCGTTCATTGTTGATGTTGAACGTTTCATTCCATTGTTTCCATCTGTCATTTCTACAGTTGAGTGGCTTTCTTGGCTTTCCTCTACGCAATAGTGTTTTTCATTGATTCCATTCCATTCATTCCTTTGCTCTGTTCCCAAGTTATCCTCTAATTCATTTCCATGTTTCTTCCGCAAAGTTTCTTTCCAGAATTCCTTGCCATCGGTAGTTTCTTTCCATTTCAATGAATTCTTAATATTTCGTATCCATCCTTCCAGCACAGTTTTCTTTCTTGAAGTTCCTACAAATTGCCTTCTTAGCGGCTTCCCATAGACTTTATTCGCGCCTTAAAGGCTTTAACTATCCAATAATTCATCCCGAGTCCCCTTCAAAGTTGGTTCCTTGCTAGAGCATCCATTCGTCTTCTATTCCCTGACCAAAAACCACTTTATTCTCCATATTATATGCCCCATTTCCCCACATTAATATGCAACCTCTCGCATTAGCGTGATACTTCCACTGCAGTGCACGAGTGTGTGGGTGTTTTCGGCATTTGTATCTGTGTGTGTGTGCGTCCGTGTGTGGCCATAAATTACCGTTGACATTTGGTTGCATGTTGTGCACGCCCTTCCGCTGTCATTGCCACGCCCACTTGTTGGCGCCACCCAAAAACCAGCGATACATATCATATAATCATCGGGAGTGGAATCGGAATTGGATTGCCACAAAGGCGGTGAAATTTTGGTAAAGGATCGCCCTAGTTCCCTCCAGAATGTCCTCCCGCCTGGTGGTGGCCCTCAATCGCACGGTCGTCGAGTATTTCCGAAAGACGAGCCTCAATGGATTCGGTTTGCTGTACTTCATCCGGAGACGTCGTGTGCAGCGCATCTTTTGGTTCTCCTTCATCTGCTGCGGCCTGATCTTTGCGGGCTATTCGGTATTCGCCATGATACTGGAACTGCTGGACAACTCCACGATAACAGATCTATCCGAGCGGGATTTGGGGGAGAAAGGGGCGTTGACGTTGCCATCGTTGGCGATTTGCAGTGGCCATAGATTTAGTAAAAGAAAGATGCAGGACTACACGCAGATGCTGGCCAATTCCAGTGGAAAACCATTGGGTTTCTGGTGGCAAAAGATACATCTACTGTCGGGCTACACGGATCCCATGTCTGTGGACCCCGAAGAAGCCAAGGAGCTGCAAGAGTCTCTGGGATTTAGAGATGTACGCTCCCAGTTGATGGATCTATCGACCCCCTGTGTTTCCCTGATCCTAAAATGTCAGCAGAATCGTGTGACCATCAATTGTTCAGAGATATTCCAGCTTCGAGCCACTAATCACGGCCACTGCTGTGTCTTAAGGGACGCGAATATCACGGGAGAGCTGTCGCTGTCGTTGGACACCTCCCAAGAAGATGAATTTCCAATGGAGAAGAGCAGTTTTCCCGGTTTCCGTTTGCATATTTCCAGTTGGTTGGGCCGCATAACCATCGGCGGGGGGGAAAAGTCCCTGGTGGAAGTGAACGCCATGGAGCTGGGGGCCAATTCGGAGCTACGCGACTATCCCCTGGACAGACGTGACTGTTACTTCCCGCACGAGGGTGACGGCAGGGAGAAGTGCCTGCAGGATTGCCGGATTAGGGCCTCTCTAATGAATTGTCACTGTGTGCCGTATCCGTTCGAGAGAGAGGCGAAATTAAAGCAAAAGTCTTGTACGCTAGAGGACATTGCCTGCCTGCAAATGGTTGCGGGTAAGACGGAGGCTTCCCAGTATCTTTTTTCGCCCTCTCTTTATGTATCTTTTCCCCTCTGTGTTGTGTAGTAAATTGGTCGCCGAACCAGTGTCCGCAGTGCCTGCCGCTCTGCAATCAAATGTTGTACAGTCTGCACAAAAGCCTGCTCGGACGTATGCATCCCTTTCGGAGTACTCTTCTGCTGCGCTTCGGGGACCCTCGCTGGAGGATCTACTCGCAGGACAAACACTATCATTGGTATCAGATTCTGTGTACGCGAAAATGAAAATGTCCTCGGACACCAGAGGTTTTCCCTTTTAATTGGAGGCTTTCCTTTCCAGCAAATATTGGCGGTGTCTTGGGCATTTGCATTGGCTGTTCGCTCATCAGTGGCTTCGAGTTGATTTACTTTATGGTCTTTCGGTTCTGGTCACACTTTCGGCACGACCCATCGAATGTATCTGTAGCCTAAATGGTACGAGTATCTGTAACTAAGGAAATAATAAATGACACACATTCGCATGTATGATTTTAAGGAGGACTAAGAGGGATGTGCGCCGCCATGTGCCGATGATCATCAAGGTTGAGTGGTCTACAGGGCCTGCTTGGTGGGGCATCGGGCATGGGGCATGGGGCATGGGGCATGGGGCATGGGGGTGCTTGATGACAACTGAACAACAGAGAAAACTGTCTCTCTCTTTCTCTCTCTGTCTCTGTGTGTCTCTTGTACCTTTCTTAAGGGCACTTCAGTGCGTGTGTGTGTGTGTGTGTGTCGTATTGATTTTCTTTTTCTTAGACACGGCGCACAAAACTTTTTTTTGTCTTTCAACTGAAAATCTAATATTATTTTTTTCTTTTTCTTTGCAGGTGAGTTTCCTCCTCGCAAAAACCTGTGGGTTTTTTCTTATATATTTTTTTGAGTGAGTAAAAATCTTGAAAATATCAAATTTTTGACTTGATTCCATTAACAGAGGCACTTAACAGTCTGTTAACGGGTAGGAAAAGCTTTGCAAAAGCTCTCCCAAGGTTCGCAACTTTGCTAAATTAAGCTCGCGGCGGGCAAAAAGCTCGCCGGGAAAGCTTTGCTTTGAATTTCGCAGTTGAACAGTTTGAAAATGATTTTTAATGCTTTTGCTTTTTCTTTTTTTTGGTTTTATTTTTTTTATGCCCACAAATCATTTACAATCGATTGAAACCTAACAAAAAAGGGAAATCTTTGAATGGATTTTCTTTGAAATTTATTACACACATACGAGATATTCCATATGCCACATCATGGGGGTCTAAAAAAGTGCAATCTAAGCAGCTAGGCTCCTAGGCTATTAAATAGACCTACTGGGTGGCCTGGGTGGCCATCCAGCGTGGCAGGATGTGTGCGCGAAGGACGAATGTCTCCATTAATTTTAAAACCGCCAACTTATCTCAGGCCGGCCGCGTCATGGCTCCTAAGTGATTTTCCTCAAGCCAGAGCACTGCTTCGCTGATTTACCGCCCATGAGGGAAGATGGTGGTGGGGGGATAATGATATCCACTCCACTCCACTGCATAGTCTATAGATTCCCATAGGCAAGGACATGCCGGACGTCCTTCACCTTCGCGTGAGACAGAGGCTCTCGCACACACATCTCACTTTTCATACACCAAAAACGAAGAAGAAGAAGAGGTAGAAATGAAGCAGCAGCAGCACAAAAAATGTATACATAAATATCTCTCTGAGGAAAGAAGGACCAACCTTTGGCAGACATTCCTTTTAAAGTATTCCGTATGTGGCTTCGCTTCGCTTCGCCCTGACATTATTCCATACATACTCGTGTATTCTTTTTTGCCCCGGCTGATGAGCTGCTGATCAAAGGCATTCCTGTGCCCTCGCACGGCCATAAAAGGACATCGTTTTGAGGGTCGGCGGGCGTGCCACGAAAATTGAATTCGTCCTTTGGCTAATATGTGTCGTCTTACAGTCAATCGGAATAGTTTTCACTTTGTCAGGGTCGATTGGTAGATGGTTTTAAATGAGCAAAAAGGTGGGGTCTTTGGTTTAAAGGGAGATTCTAGACGCAAATGCTTTAAAGGGGGGAAAGAAACGAATAACGTAAAATCTTTAAGTGTAAGCCCTTCCAATGTTACATTTTAATATCTCGTAGACCACGTGAATATCAATTAAATGAATATCAACTAAATATAATTAAATTAAATTCATTTGCATAGAAAACCCTTGAAATATCAATGCAAAAACATATATTGCTGTGAAACTTTTGCTTTTAGCCTTATATTTCCTATTTTCCGAAGGAAAAGGAAGCCTTCAAACTAGCCTGTAAAGCCCTAAAAGCATACGAAAGTACCAACCCATTGAATGCCGATATTAAAAAACCTAAATGTGGTCTGACTTCCACTGATAAACGCGAACCACACTTAAAGAAAGAAAAAACCGCAGAAATTTCGATCATTTTTGCCCTAAAATTCGCTCACTCTGCACTGCTTGAACTGCTGAAAGCTCTGCGGATGCTTCTTCTCTACTGCTTAGCCACTTTAAACCCTCCAACTGCTTATTTTCCACTGCTTGCACACATTGAACTGCTTCTGTGGCCTGCCTAAAAGTGCACCCACTTTTTTTTTCCGTTTGCTGTTGTGCTGCATTGAGTCGCATGGCTCTATCGAATATTGTCGACTCCGATTCCGATCGGATGCCATGCCACGCGCCTCATGCCTCACTCGGGCATAGAATTTTCCCAAAAAAAAAAACGAACCGCAATGCCAAGCTCCTCGTCTCATTTGCATAATTCTAATATGGAACATTTTTGGCCAATTCCCTTTCCCCGTCCAGTGTCCACCCACACACACACACACACACACACACACAGGACACTGAGGACACACGTAGTAGTCACATTTCGGGTCCTGAAGCCTAGAACGAGATTTGCATAAATAAATGTTGTAGTTGTTGCTTCGAGCAGCTCCTGCCTGAGAGCTCCTGCTGTTATGGACTGTCCTTTCGTCCGTCCTTTTCGCCTGTCAACGTAAATTACGGCCATTTGATTTCGGGGCAATTACAACGCATTTTTGTGCAACAATCTCTCGTTCTTTGTGCCACATTGTGCCATCCCCCCCTTTTTGATTTATATTCCCTTCTTTTTTTGTGTGTGTGGGGGGGAGGGGAGGTGAAGGTGGGGGCAATTTCAATTTCAGTTTTGCAACATTCGACATGTCGTTGAGAAAGTTAATTATGAGGCGGATTATCCTTGGACTTGTCTGCAGTGTCCTCCCGTCCTGTCGTCCTGTCTCCTGCTCTTTCTTTTTTGACTATTTACTGCCCCAGTAGTATTTTGTGTGTTGCATATCTCTCTTTCTGTCTGTCTGCAGGACTTCCGTTGTTTGTCGCCGGAATCCATTGTTCCGTCTGTGAGCGAATGTTTGTGTGTTGGTGAGTGCCTGCGTCTGGTCAGGCGAAGGTTGCAACATTGTGGCACCACCAACCAACCGAGAAGGTAGACAACCTTGGCCATGACAAGGACTTAGTTTATTTTTATTTTTATTTTCTGCTTTTGTGCTTTGCTTTCTTGAGGTTTTCGTGGGTATTTTTCAAGATTTTTTCTGCTGTGGTTTTCCCCGTCTAGATTTGCATGCCATTTTCCCTTTTTCCCTTTTTCCCTTTTCCCATTTCCTTTTTTCTTGATTATCATTTGTTTTCGTTAAGCCCCGAAATGTCCAAGCGGCTAAGGAGCCACAGAGCCAACAAGTTGTGGCAGCTCATAAAAATGAATTACTTGCGGGCGCCCCCGCCTTCCGCTCCCACTCCCAAGGATACTTTCCACTTGCTCATAGTTTATCCAAAGCTTTTGCCTGGAGGATAGATTCCGGGAATAACCATAGCTCCCCGGGATGATATATATTTATTTATGATTTGCGACCGTATTCAAGTGACTTTTGAAAGAGAAAGCCATAATGCCTGAAGGAGGGAGAAGTTTTCTGTGATTTTTGGAGATACAGTTCGAGGTTTTACCTGGAAATAAACTATGAAAACATTTCTCGGAATGCTAGAGTACACTGATATCTTGTATCCTTTGTTGTCCTTGGATCCTAAATTCCAAATAATTTCACATTAATTTGCAATCAATTGAGAAGGCAAAGAGCGTGCCTGTATTTGCCTCTTACATGCATGGATTTGCTTCTTTTGATTTACATGATTTACTTATACTCTCGCTAACAGATTTTCCGCTTCGAGCCCTCCCTCATCACGGGCTTTGCTTTGCACCCACGCAAAAATTCCGAATTTCTTGGGGCTTCCTCTCTTCCCTGAGACACTTTTTGCCCCAAACTGAAGCGGATTTTCTTCGTTCCAGGGCCAGGAGGCCTGTCAATACTCCACCGTTCGTACCTTTTGACCATTGTATGAGTCCCCTGCAAAGTCTTATGCAAATGCCCTCCCTCTCGATGACGGACCCTCCGGGGATCCGATTGAGGAACGGACTGCCATTGCGATGGTAAAGCGGGTCCATTCAATCAAACGTTGACAGTGCCGCCTGCCTTGTGGCAGTCATCCACATCATCCGCATCATCCGTTGACGTTGTCATTGTCATTCGTAATCGGGTAGGGCGGGGGGCGGAGTCTGTTAAAGCGATTTTATTTATGCAACGGCATGTGCTCGAAAGAAGCTCAGCTTTCCGTTTTTTTGGGGCGTCCCACGGCCCTGTTTCTTAACCAAATTTCGAATGCAAATTTTTGCACGTGCCACGGACCTTCCCCCTGCCGGCTTCTTGGCGTCTTGGTGTGGGCGTGGCAAAGAAAATCCTTCCTTTGGCTGCATTTAATTATTAAAATTTAATTTGGCCAATTCGTTGGCGCTCTCTGCTCTCTGCTCTTTGCACCCACGCTCTCTCAGCACAAAGAAGATTTCTCAAACTCTGCTCGGTCTCCCTCTCCCTCTCCCTCTCTCTGTGTGAGGCTTATGAATATTATGAGGGCATACGCCCCGTTAGCCCGGCTTAAACTAGCTGAAAATTGCAGAGGACACCAGCTTTTCCACCTCGGGGCAGGCTTTTGTCTTTCGTTTGTTGGCAAACAACCTGTTTGCATCCTTGAAAAAAAAAGGATACTATCACAAATTATGGAACTAAAATAGTTTTTCCCCCCAAGAAAGGGAGATGGGGGGGCGAGGGGTAGAAAGTGTGCTAACTCATCCGAGGACCCGCAGACAATTGTTTATTCCTGTTGCTTCCCCCCCCAGCAACACTCTCCCCCCCCCATTCGCTCCAGCTTTTGCTCTGTTTGTGGATAAATTTTTGATAACTTGCGTCACTTGCATTTTAAATGGAACAAAAACTGTCGAAAAGAGAGCGCAAGAGAAAGTCAAGTGGCAATTTAAGAGAGCAACTAAGAGAGAGAACGGAGAGAGCTTTGAGGGCGAGCTTTTGCCAGCACGTGCGAGCGACCACTGTGCTGTCGGCGAAAAGCGATTTCAAGTTCAAGTCTCGCAC